CTGTTTAGCTGAAAAGCCAAAGTTCCAGTTTTCTGCAAAACCATCATAAAACATGATAATATGGTTGCAGTACACTGCAAATCAGGACAAATGCAATCCTGTTGCCAAGTCCCCAAAGTGACTTGATTATGGAAGGGGCCAAGCTTTGTAACTTTGGAAATGGGTTGTAAGTAGCCCTAAGGTGGGTTTGTCATAACTTCAACGGTCACTAAGCAACCAGTCGGCAGCCTGAAGAATTCAGAATTCAAAATTTTGAACTAAAAGTGTAAGAATTTATGACTGAGCTCTTAAATAAGATCTGGGAAATGAACTAAGAGTGGTAAAACTCAATTTCATTTGCAAAGCCAGTTCTGCTGTCTTCCCTGGGAAGCTAAGAGAATGAACACAGGACTACAGATTTATATACCCATTTTTATTCCAATGTCAAGATTTAGTGTTGTCTGAATGGACACATTTTCAGCTGTAAGGGCCCAATCAGCTACCAGATCATGGACCAGTCATTTTATAGATGCACATAATTCTCCAAAATATTTTTAGATGCCCCACGATGTTTATTTCCAGATAATCTTGATTTTCACCTACAACACTCACATATCACATTATCCTTCCTAGCATTTTTCCTCCAAGTGCAGGGTTTGCTTTTTCATATCAATCAAATGTTGATCCATTGGTTGCAACAGGAAATGACCAACTGGTTTGTATCCCGAGACAGCCCCTTCCTTCTTTAAGCTGAGAGAGAGTGACTGGCCCATAGTCACCTAGTCGGCTTTCATACCTAAGGTTTCCTGGTTCTAGCCTGGTGCCTTAAACACTTTATTCCCCACTATCCTGTCAGAGCTGAAGAAGCTTCTTGGATGAGAAGCAAAATGTCTTCAAAGAAAAAACAAGAAAGTCCAGTTGCCTCCTGAAAAATCACCTTCAGAACAACCATAAACTGGATGACTGAGAATCTCTAGAGACTTAACACTAGAACGAACTGACTCTTTTGCTATATTCATAAATACTTCCATTTACTAAGTCTATTTTCCACATAGGTATACAATATACATAGCAGTATACGTGATTAAACATATTCCAATTAATGTGCTTTTTTGCAGCACATTTTCCTGAGTTTCACACATTGTACCAGATTATAATGTGATTTCTTTCCTTTTAGCTAAATTATGACAAGTGAAAGCAAGCCAGTTTGGTCTAGTGGTTAAGGCATCAAGACTAGAAACCATGAGACTGTGAGTCCTAGGTGTCCTTGGGCCAGTCATCTCTGTATGTCTTAGGCACGAAGCCAGCTGGGTGTCCTTGGGCCAGTCATCTCTCTTAGTTCAAGGAAGGAAGCAGTAGCAAACCACTTCTGGAATCTTGCCACGAAAACTGCAAGCACTTCCCCATGCTGATGTCAGGAGTCAAGGCTGATATGAAGCCCCCATCCCCCATTTTAAAAAATAAATAAATGAGAGGCTTAATTTGGTGCGGTGATTAAGGTACCATGTTCAAAACTGAGCTAGTCCTGCCAGTTTGCAACCTTGGGCCAGTCACTCATTCCCACTCCTAGAAAGTATGCATTGGCAATCTGAAACCTGGCCAAGAAAACTGCAGGAATTTGTCTAGGCAGTTCCCAGGAATCAAGACTGACCTAAAGACGTTTTTTTAAAAGTGTGAACTCAGCATTGTGATTTCTTAACAATACAGTTTGTTGTTATGCATGAAATTGGTGTTAGGTGTGAACAAGCTACAGTTAAAATGTGGATTATATTGTGTGAATTTAGGTTTTCCTTGCAGAAAAATGTGTGGTGATAGTGTACATTATGTCCGTTTGCTTTTGAACAAGCTTTTTTTCCCAAAGACCAAGCAGACAGATCTCTATTTGTGTATGTGTGAATATATACATATCATGTATATTACTATTCACTTTTAATGTATTTCCTACTTGTTTTGATATGACACCTACGTATAGTGTTAAAATGATTGTATTAATAGTTGGAGAGAATTATTTTACCTTGAGAATCACAAGATCTGTAGATTCATGTAATCATAAGATCACATGACATGGGATGCTTTTTAAACCCCATAAAGCAGAGGTCTCCAAACTCAACAACTTTAAGGCCTTTTTGACTATAATGCTTTGTGGAACAGCCTTCTCCCCCCCCGCCCTCCAAAATTCCCTACAGAAAGGCAGTGAAGACCTGGAGCCATGATGCTGATGGAGCTGGCATGGTTTCTTTGCTCTACACAGGACTGACATTCTCCCCCCCTCAACTGTAATAAACATTGACAATTGTATTTGCATTTTTTATTTTGGTTTGCCATCCAGAGTCCCCTTGGGCAAGAATGGGTGGCTTTATCTATTTGCTTAATAGATGAACAATACATCTTTGTTATACATTTTTGTGCACAAAATGAAACAATATAATCATGCCTATTTTATGCAGTATACCTTGAATCCAGATGCCTATTCCTCTCTCTCTCTCTCTCTCTGTGTGTGTGTGTGTGTGTGTATACCTATATGTATGTGTATATAAATATATATATATATATATATTATCTATCTGTCTGTCTGTCTATCTATCTATCTATATAAAATAAAAACTGGAGGTATATGGATTCTGCATTTAGGAATGCAAATGTGAAAAGCCCCAGCCATGAGATCCTTTTGACTCACTTCCTGAGCAGTGTTCTAGTAATAATACAAAAAGGCTACTCCGTGGCTTAGGATCACTCGGTTGACAGGCGGCGTGCGAGGCGCGTTTCCTTCCAAGTTACACCTACTAGCAGTAGGAATTGGCAGAAACAACCAGCGGCATAGAAAACCCCACCCCACCCCCAGCGCTAATTCCGTTTCTCATCACAGCTGTTGGATGTGTTGAAGGACAACCGACTGTTCACCCCCCCCCCCTCCTAAAAACGTGGGAAGCTAATATTCAGTACAGATCCCCCTCTACAAAGAAGCGGATCTAGGAAAAGCGACGCAATTGGCACCCTGCTTTTGTGCAATTGGACAAAGAGTTGCCTAATCCGCCGAATTAAACCATCCGTATTTTATTTTACTTTTTAAATAGGAAGGACTCTTCAGTCCGAGACATTCTGGAAACCGGAGAGTTTACTACTTCGCTTAGCACCGACGCGGGTACTTTACTGCTTTGGCACGGTTTCTGTTCTTTACCAAATCCCAGCCTGCGGGAGAAAAGTCCCTGGTAGCCTTTCTCGCCTCGTTTTTCAACCCGTCCCCCCCTTTCTTATAAAGGCTATTATCTCCCAACCGCTACCACCCCGCCGCCCTTCGGATCGCATCGCCGTCAAATCTGCCTTCCCCGCTCGCTCCCATCGACCAAACGAGAAACGCGCCGTTGCCCGATGACTAGGAGGACGAGTACAATATTGTGACCTTGACGAGACCCGCCGTGCAAAAAAAAAAAAAAAGACCAATCGATCCGGGCTGGCTTTTCATACCCGAGACCCGATGCGCGGCGGGGGGGGGGGGGGGAAGGGGGGGGGAAGACGACGACTTCAAGTTCAAAAACACCTTTATTGTCCCGTGTGTAGATTGGCTGAGCCTCCCTTCGTGAAAACTTCCCCCCCACACACACAACTACAACTCGCAGTGAAAGGCAAGAAAATCCCCTAAAAACCCAGCGTAATCCTACTTCACACACACACACACACACAATCCTATTGCACCAAGGTGAGCATATTGCACGAGAGGGAAGATGGGGGGGGGGGAATGGGGAGCATGACTTAAAAAGCTCCCCGTTATCTATGGAAGCTGAACCCAGGGTGGAGTTTCTTTTCTCTCCCCAGAGGCTCGGAGGACTCGATCCGCAGGCGGCTGGCGTGGTTTCCCGAAAGGGCGCGGGTGTAGGGGGGGGGGGGGGGGGGGGGGGGGGAGAGAGAGAGAGAGCGAGAGCGTGGGAAAGAGAAGCTGCAGCGCAGGACCCGCCCCTGCCCTCGACCCCCTTTTTTGCAGCGCCGCTGCTGTTGCTGCAAAGGGGGCGGGCGAGCCTCCGAAGGAACAAAAGAGCTGAGAGTCGGAGGGCGCGGCGTGCAAAGCGCTCCTCTTTGATGGACGCTCGGAGCCTTAAAAAGCCCAGACGGCGCAGTTTTTCCTCTTCCTCCTCCTCCTCCTCCCTAGCGCCTTTCTCCCTTCTTCTCCCCCACCCCACCCCAAGGAGAAGAAACCCAGAACAAAGAGCTGCTTCAGCCTTTTTTTAAAAAAAGTTGAAGCGCTCTCCCCACCACCGCCCTGGCTCCGCAGGCCGGCTAAACCCCTAAAAAAGAGACCGCTGAGGGAGGGTGGGTGTGAGCGAGCGCGAAGGGCGGCAGAAGGCGCGAACCAAAGCAGGGGTGGCTTTCGGTCCCTTCTCTTACCCGAGCCGCGTTTTCTCTTGCCTGGAAGGTGGGGTTCAAATCAGCAGAGGGGGGGCAACATGCATTGAGGAATTACGCCTGAGGGGTGGGTGGGTGGGTGAGGGCTAGGATGAGCGCCCCGCCCGCGGTCTTCAAACGGGTCTGGGGTTGCTTGTGTGGCATCGAATCTCATTTTCACCTCAGGGCTGTTCGCGCGCCTTCGAGACGCGCCGTTCCCTTTATTTCTGTACTAGGCTCTACTATTAGATTACTACGGCTAGTACAAATATTGCTTTTTTTTTTTTTTTTTTTTGGGGTCTCTCGGTGGTGGAGTAGAAGAAGGGAGCCAATTTGACGGCTCGCGAGCTCCCCTCCCCCTCCCGGTGGATTTTTAAAAGGGGGGGGGGAAAGACTGCAAGGGAGCTGCGTCTCCGCGCGGTAGCTGCGTAGAAAGTAGCGGAGCAAACAACCCCCCCGCCGGCCTTCTCTCTCTCTCTCTTTGCCGCGGTCGCCCCCTGCGCGCTTGTCCAGAGCCGCATTACCTCACCCGAGGAGGGGGCGGGGCTTGGATGGAAAGGGGGCGGGGCTTGTACTGCAGAAGGGCGGCGAGCCGGGCTGCCCGGTATAAAAGGAGGCTGTGGGAAGGAGCCCGTTCTCTGTCGCAGGTTGCCGGCAACGAGAGTGGGTGGGGTTAAGGCAGGAGGCTGAAGCAGCGGCCACTGAGGTGGGGGGGTGTGAGCCCAGAAGAAAGCCGTCGCCATGCGTGAGATCGTGCACATCCAAGCCGGCCAGTGCGGGAACCAGATCGGAGCCAAGGTACCCTGGGCGAGGCGAAGGGGCCCGTCTGCTGTCCGGAGGCTTGGCGGCGGCGTGGGGGGGAGTCAAAAGGGTCCCCGGGTGTCTCTGCATCTGTGGGCGGGGCAGGTGTTTCCCCACCACCTGCAGCAGATGGAGGGGGAAATCCAAGGGTCGCCAACCACCGTATTCTCCAAATCCAATATTCTCCCTCTCCCCCCTCTCTCCCCCCCTCCCTCCCTCTCTCTCTCCCCCCCCCTCTTTCCCCCCCTCTCTCTTTCTCTCTGAATAATGAAAAACGATTGCATTCGCCTGTCGGTTGCACCTTTTTTCCCCTTTGTTCTGCTTCAGAGGAGGGGAGGGGGAGATCAGATAGCTAGTCGGGTTCACAGGGGCACAAAAGAAAGGTAGCTGGCGGGTGAGCTTTACCCGGGGCGCCTGGGGTGGGGTGGGGAAAAGGCGCATCTTTCCCCGTTGCTTTTTTTGGGGGGGCGGGGGGAGAGAAACGATGCCAGCTTCGAGCGACACAACGAGAAAGCAGGGATTCTGTTGAGCCAAGAGATCTTGGCCACACCCTTCCATTCAGAGGTAACCTCTATTATATGCCAGTGCGGAGAAAGATTAAACGAGAGGATGTATAATTTAATTGGAACCGAATTCCGGAATTTCAGTACCCCCCAAAAAAGGCAAAGGGCACAAGATACAGACCCTTGCCATTTTAATGTAGGTTGAGCTTTTCACAAGGCTGGTGAGACTATTGAATGGGGAAATCCGGCTGGCTAGCCATAGAAAAGAATCTTAACTCTTCGCTGCCATCTAGGCAGATCTGGTTGGTGGTGCCCATTGTTGGTGCTTTTGAAGGCACCACACAGAAGCTGGGAAAATTGGCACACAAATGCTCTGAAGGTTGGGAATAGAATCCGTCCAGCACTGGGTGGTTGTAAGCCTTCTGCAACTCCACCCCTCTAAGACAGCCTGAAAATGTTCGGCACACATTCCGTAGATCTTTAAAATACTAAGGACCACTTCAAAAGGGCTCCTTTTTTTAAAGGGACCTCAATCAGATGAAGTCAAATGTGAACATTTATATCTCCGGGAAGGAAGTGGATTATTATTATTATTTTTTTGGTAGGTAGGTATGTGAACCTCACAATCCTACACCTCCAGTTATTCTAATGTGGAACAGAGAGTCTGCAGTATGAGCAAAATATTTTTTTCATTTTCTTCCTAGAAACAGCTGTTAATAAAGCCTCTGATGTAAAATTGCACCATGTTCTTTCATAAAGAACATAAGGGGGGGGAAAAAACCCTTCAGACTAGTTTTTAATTAGAACGTATCTGAAAATAATAAAGAGCAGGAACAGCTGTTATCTTTCATTTATGGTCCCCAGCTCTCCTTCTGGGCAAGAATACAGAAGAATGTTGTTGGTTTTTTGTTTTTTTTTAGAATTAATGGCACATGAGTGACAGATAGAACCTCTTTCTGCCTCCAGCTGTAACTGTGTCATTTCTTTGTGCTTTAAAAACCACCTTCCTTTGACAGAGCTGCCTTGGTTTCTGCTGGGGCAGCAGCAACCGCTCTGACAGCAGAATTAGACAGGGTGTGCCTCCAAGAAGCACATGTCTGCTGCTGCTGCAGCAGTAGCTTCCTGGCATTTTGAAGGCAGTTGCTAACAGCTCTCTCTCTCTCAAAAAAAAAAAAAAATCCCATTCCAGTTCTGGGAGGTCATCAGCGACGAGCACGGCATTGACCCCACTGGCAGCTACCATGGAGACAGTGACCTGCAGCTGGAGAGGATCAATGTCTACTACAATGAAGCAACTGGTAACTCGGGTAGGGGGTGGAAAGAGAAAAAACTATGCCTGAATTTTACATTAGCCCCCGAGTGCAGAGTGTGACAAATCCTTGATAAAGCCGTCTGGTTAAATCCCTAGCAAAGCATTGAATGCCTGCTTGAAATTCCATCCTTGTTTCCTTAAATCGGGCGTGTCCAGACGTGGGCTGCATATGCAGCCCTGGACGGCTAATAATGTGGCCCACAAGATACTATTACAGACAATCCTTGAGTTAGGACCACAGTTGAGCCCAGAATTTATGTTGCTAAGGGAAACATTTGTTAAGTGAGCCTGCCCCATTTCACGACTTTTCTGGCCACGACTGTTAACCGAATCATTGCATTTGTTAAGCTAGTAACAGGGTGGTTAGGCAAATTGGGATTCCCCGTTGACTTTGCTTGTCAGAAGGTCGCAAAAGCGGATCATAGGACACTGCAACCGTCATAAATATGAACCAGTTGCCAAGCCTCTGAATTTTGATCACGTGACTGTGGGGATGCTGAAGTGGTCGTAAGTGTGAAAAACGGTCATAAGTTGCTTTTTAAAGTGCCATTGTACTTTTGAATGGTCACTAAATGAACTGTTGTAAACAGAGGACTACCTGTAGGGGATTTATATACATTACTACATAATATATTTCATATGTGGCCCAAGACAATTCCTCAAAGTGACCCAGGCAAGCCAAAAGATTGGCCATCCATACCTCAGACTGTCCCCTTTAAATGTACACCTCCCCTTCTATTTGTAGCTGTATTTCTTCACTGAATAGCAATGAGTTGCCAAGAGCATAGAAGCATCTTTGTTTCTTTTCTTTTTTTAAAAAAAATGTGGTTGGATCAGTAATACTGGTTATTTTTGTCTTTTCCACAGGTAACAAGTATGTTCCCCGTGCAATTCTCGTTGACTTGGAGCCTGGCACAATGGACTCGGTCAGATCTGGACCTTTTGGCCAGATCTTTAGGCCTGATAATTTTGTCTTCGGTGTGTAGCTGATCTACATGACTTTTCTTAAAAAAAAAAAAAAAACCCTCAATTGTGGCTGAAAAGCAAATTGGTCATTCTAGATGGAAACTGTCAATGGAAAATAATGGGGTGGTGTTGGGTTTTTTTTTTTTGCACAAGAGCAGGGATGGGCATTAAGCCCCCCTCCATAAATTTTTAAATAATGACTTCCCATGCTTCTTAGCAGCATGGCCAGTGCTGAGCAAAGCCAGTTGCGGTAGTTTTCATGAATTGCAAAAAGCTAGTCCTGTTTTAAATCATTTGAACTCAACATATATAAAGAATATATCTGAAAAGAGAGACTGATTCTTTTAAATCAACTTCACCTGCATGGCACAAAAACTTTTTCCACTCTTTATTGAAAGTAGACCAAAAAAGAGTCAAGCATCTCTAGGCAAGGGAAATTTGTGGTTTCAAAAAGGCTAAATAAGTCTTGTAGCCTTGGAGAAATTAATTTCTTAGATTAGGTTACAGCTGAGAAATCAGCAGGAGGATCTACCCTATTTATAATAAATGGTGCCTGGATTTACACACAGTCTATTGAATAAATTACAGGGGTGGGATATATCATATATGTGATATAATATAAAAGCTACATTTTGGCTTAGTATCATGTGTGAATTGTAATTATATTTAAATGCATCTTTGGAGTGCTCAGATACAAAAGGAAATAAAATGATTTGGTATGTGCAAAGACACATCGTATCTGTGGGTAGCTCCTTAAAACAACTGCATCTTCTCTGTTCATAAAGCTATACAAGCAGTCCTCATTTAGCAACGATTGAGACCAAAAGACCAAAGTGATTGCTAAGTGAAAAATCATGATTTAGTGATTGGACTTCAGTTGCAAAGGCTATATATGTGAGGATTGGTCACAAACTTTTTCATCATTGTCATAACTAAACAGTTGCTGTCTGAGGCAGCCATTAAGCGAGGACAACCTGTAAAATATTAATAAGTCATGCATCTCCTGTGTGTGTAATAGGTGGCGTAGCCATAAAGAGCTGTTTTTTGAATTTGACTAAAATACAACTGAAGCGTATAAATAGTTTCTACGCATGCACAATGCAAAGTAATACTTGTGAAATAATTATTAACCAATCTATTTTCTTCTGGATATATTTTTTTCTTTTAGGCCAGAGTGGCGCTGGGAACAACTGGGCCAAGGGCCACTACACAGAGGGAGCTGAGCTAGTGGATTCGGTGCTGGATGTAGTAAGGAAGGAGTCTGAAAGCTGCGATTGCTTGCAGGGCTTCCAACTCACCCACTCGCTGGGTGGGGGCACTGGGTCTGGCATGGGAACCCTTCTCATCAGCAAGATTAGGGAGGAGTACCCCGATAGGATCATGAACACCTTCAGTGTAATGCCATCTCCAAAAGTGTCAGACACCGTGGTTGAGCCATACAATGCCACCCTCTCTGTCCACCAGTTGGTAGAGAACACGGATGAAACCTACTGTATTGACAATGAAGCGCTGTATGACATCTGCTTCCGCACATTGAAACTCACAACTCCAACTTACGGCGATCTCAACCACTTGGTGTCTGCCACCATGAGTGGAGTAACCACCTGCCTCCGGTTCCCCGGCCAACTGAACGCAGATCTTCGCAAGCTGGCGGTCAACATGGTGCCTTTCCCTCGTCTTCACTTCTTCATGCCCGGCTTTGCTCCCCTGACGAGTCGCGGCAGCCAACAGTATCGTGCCCTGACGGTCCCAGAGCTGACTCAGCAGATGTTTGATTCCAAAAACATGATGGCGGCCTGTGACCCCCGCCACGGCCGATACCTGACGGTGGCAGCCATCTTCCGGGGCAGAATGTCCATGAAGGAGGTGGATGAGCAGATGCTAAATGTCCAGAACAAGAACAGCAGCTACTTTGTGGAGTGGATCCCCAACAATGTGAAGACGGCCGTTTGCGACATTCCTCCCCGAGGCCTGAAGATGTCTGCCACTTTCATCGGCAACAGCACCGCAATCCAGGAGCTCTTCAAGAGGATCTCGGAGCAGTTCACAGCCATGTTCCGGCGGAAGGCTTTCTTGCACTGGTACACTGGCGAAGGCATGGATGAGATGGAGTTCACGGAAGCCGAGAGCAACATGAATGATCTGGTCTCTGAGTACCAGCAATATCAAGATGCTACTGCAGACGAGCAAGGAGAGTTTGAGGAGGAAGGAGAGGAGGATGAAGCTTAGAGGTTGAGTAGGGTTAGTCCATAGGCAAGTGTCCAAGGTGAGAGCTGTTCAGCTGTACCAGTGCATGCTTTTCCAGTTATTCTTGGTGCTTTTACTGTTGCCTCTGTCGGCAGTTTTTGTAACTTCACTCTTTATGTAACATTAGTTGCAAAAGATTTCTGGGGGGAAAAGTCTTCTGTTTCAGTGTCTGATCTCAAACATAAAAAGTATTTGTGTTTCTCATTTGGTGTCTGTTTTCATTTCTTACAAAATGGCACAAGACATTTTAGCTAATTGAAGGAGTATGGCAAGCTGATACTAATTTCCTTTTGCCTTTATAGTGTGGACTGTCAGTAAAAATATGAATATGGTTCCTTAGTGATTTTGTAGTTTATATTTCTCCCTGTTAATAACAATGGCCGTTAAGGAATTTTGACCAACTTATTATTAATTCTTTCCCTATAATACACATTCTTCACTGGGGTGTAGTCCTTTAGCATAATTTTAGGAAAATAAATTTATGGGCCTTGGTTATAGATGTTTGAAAAGCCTGCCAATCTGCTTTTTGATACTTTCCCTACTGTGTGAAAATTCCAGCCCTCCTGCCTCCCCACCCCACATATGGGGGTCTTGGGGGGTGTTAAGCAAAAAGAATGCCTTAAGCTGCAAAAAAGATAATTGGAGAGGTGTTTATGACATGCCATGCAAATCCTGGCCCACAAAGCAACAAAAGCTGGTTATCCTTTTAAAGCAAAAAAAAAAAAAAAACCAGCAACAACCCAAAGACACAAATAGGAGGCATAATTTTTAAAATGAAGTGATTTGTGATGGCATGGTTGAAAACTGCATCTAACAAATTTCCTTGCTGTTTTCCCTCTAAAGTGATATCTGTCTTAAGAGTAATGATTATTTTCAACTTGTCCCAGTGCACGGCAATATAATTACAGCAAAACCATTCATACATAAATGACTTGAAGCAACTAGTGTGTTTTTCCTAGTCCTTCCATGTTCACTTCATGAGCATTCAAACTCCATCTTAAAAACCACAAAGTTAACTCTGCTTTCAATGTGAAGAACCAAGACCTCAGCCTGAAGCCAACTGGTGTTGAGAAAAGGGTGGATGTTGATTCAAATCCAGAAACAAGACTGAGCTTGCTTGTCAACTTCACAGGGAGAAGGAATAATTAAGGTATGGTTTGGACCTTCCATGAAATCACTGTAAATATTTTGAAATCATGGTGTGAAAGATGATCTTTTGTGAGTATAAAGTGTTACAGCTAGTGTATGGTGATGATACAGGAACCTAAATCTCTTAAAGTATGAAACTTGGTCAATTACTTTAGCCAATAATTATCTCAGCCCGTCTTTCTTTCCTACTTTGAAATGAAATTGAGACGAAAGCCATTTGAGTTTTTGCAGAACAGCAATAACTCCACTTAATAGGAAGATTTCTCCTCCACAGAGCATTTGTTGTAGGGCTTATCAGTACTTTATCAGTACATTTGATTTTTTTCCCATTATAGAAAATAAGATCGGTTAAGACTGAAGAAATTAAGTTTATTCCAAATCGTAATTTTAGTGTCTTTAAGGTAGAAAAAATACAGCTGTTTTCAGCAACAGTATTAGACTTGTTGAATATATTCCTTTGAAGAATAGTTATTGTAAATGTAATTTAAACTTCAAATTCCTCAGAAATATTAGGAATCTAATAATGAAGTAATTTTCTGACCTTGTGTAGTTACAACAGCCTTTAAATATAGGGACAAAGACATATTGAGGCAAATTTATGTGGCAGTGAGATTTGATACAAGAAAAAGTTTTGCAGCTGACAGGAATGTTCATGGGAATACTTCAGATTACCTCATACCATATTTGCAATTTGGTCCAAATAATCTGAATTGACACCTATCCCTCAAGCACAGAATGGGTTATTCCCTCCCAATGTCCACATACTTGGAAATCTTGAAAGGAAAACCCACAGGCATTTTTTTCTGAAGCATCCATGGTTGATTACTAGATAATGAGTTTAGAAGCCCAGCCCTGTTCTGTGAATAATGCATTTTCGTATGATGTATGGATGAGGAAATGGGTTTAAGTGATTTGTGCTGTAGGAAGTTCTGTTGCTTTACCCCAGCAAGAATATTCTAGAATTGGAAGGCTGCAGAAAAGAACCAAAATATTATTAGTTAAGGGGGGGTGGTCCTTGGTGCTCTCTGAGCTTGCTTGTTTTCTTGCAAATGTTTCATTACCCTAACTAGGTAACATCATCAGTGTTAGTTAAGGGGAGTGCTTTTTTTCCTGTTTGTTAACCAGAAATGAGATGGAGTTAAGTCTTCCTTGTCTCATAATACTAAGATTCACCTTCCCTAATTAAATTAAAAGAGAAGTACTGAATGTAATCAGAAGATTCACTGCAATGAGTAAGTGCTGTGAGCTGGAGATACGGTAAATCCAGTAAATACATACCAGGCATCCATAGCCAGGCACAACAGGGCAAATGATGTGCATTATCACCATAACAACACAAACCATGAGATTTATGAATCTGCAAAAGATGAGAATGTGTAATGTAACGGATGCTACCACGTACACTTCATTATTTTTCATCATCTTGCTCTGTACCAGATGTCTGCAGCCAGATGCTTTCCCGATCGCGAGGGTTTTTTTTTTTTCCCCAGAGGTTGATAAAAATAAATGGAGAGAACTTTGCCTTAACAGCAGTTTGATTCCTGGAATGGGTTGGATAATAAGCTAGGTCAAACCATTACATGGCTCAATGTGTCAAGCTAATAAAGTCAATCACTACGAATGATGTAGCAGTTGGATTCTGCATTTCTGGTCTTTATTTGCATGAAAGGTTGACATGGAGCTCTATTGGTGCAAGGACATAAATTTTATATGGCTCAGCATACTATAATATGAGTGTTACCTATGTTTCTCTAAACAAAGCTATTTCTCTAATCAAAGCAACACCAATGATTATGGACTTAGCACAAACAGAATTTATTTACAGGTAATCCTCAATGTATGACCACAATGGAGCCAAAGATTTATGTTTCTAAGTGAGAACTTGGTTAAATGAGTTTTGTCCCATTTTACGACTTTTCCTACCGCAGTTGTTAAGTGAATCGCTGCAGTTGTGAAATTAGTAACCCGGTTGTTAAGTGAATCTGGCTTCCCTCATTGACTTTGCTTTTCAGAAAGTCGCGAAAGGAGAATCACCTGACCCTGGCACACTTTAGCTGTCATAAATGTGAGTTGTCAAGCATCTGAATGTAAATCATGTGACCGTGGGGATGCTGCAATGGTCATTAAGTGTGAAAAATGATCATAAGTCACTTTTTTCAGTGTTGTAATTTCGAATAGTGACTAAGCAAACTGTCGTAAGTCGAGGACTACCTGTATTTATTTATTGGATTTGTATGCTGCTTGTCTCATTAATATATTGACTCTGGGTGGTTATAAGAAAAGCTAAAAAGTGCAAAAAGCAATTAAATTCGAATAAAAGAGACAAACTTATTCTTAAAAACCAGGATGGTGGGCAGCCTGGGAATGAAAATCTTCTTTGTCCTGTCAGCCACCCATAATTTAGCGGGCCTGTGGCAGCAGAGCCAATTTTTTAGGCTCTTCCAGAAGGCCAGGAGTGTGAGGGTAGAACTCGCCTCTGTCAGGAGAATATTCCAGAGGGTGGGAGAGGGCAGCAGCAAAGTCTCTTCTGTAGACCCTGTCAGTCAAAATTCTTTGGTTGACAAGGTCTGAAGTAGGCCCTTTCTGCTGTAATGAAGTAGGACGGGTTTGTCCCAATGGGATCAGGCAATCGCCTCAGATACCCTGGAGAGTTGATATGCTATCCGATAGCAGTAATAATTGGGTTTATTCTTTTCAAGTCATCCTCGTGGACTCCCTGAAAACAACCTGGTGGGCCAGCAAAAACAGCAATACGTTTGTGCAATATGGTCCAGTCCAGTTATTCTTGTGTTCCAAGGGAAAGATACTGAGGTGTTTTGGTTTTGTTTTTTTAAAATAATAGATTCCCACACCATATTAGAAACTTTTAAAAAATACCTATAGCAGTGTTTGGAGTCAGATTAATGTAATGGTTAAAACACTGTGCTGCCCAGCCAGTATATGGGAATTGGGATAGTTAGTTAGGAATTGGGAGCTGTCCCCTTAAGGGAATGCATCATGGTAAATGTAGTTCAGGTATCATGGGAAATGTAATTCATGTCATGTAGCCACATCTGTAATCCCGATTGGTCCCTTGAATTGACCCTTGGTGGGTGGGGGGAGGTTTCTTCACTCTTGCTTGGACCCCAGTAGCATGCTGGTGCCTCACCCTTTGCTCTAACATTATTGGGGTGAGAGATTACCATCTTTTTACTATTCATGCTAGAAAAGTGGGAGAATGTGAATTCTAGTCCTGCCTCAGTCACAAAGTGAGGCAGGTTACCTTAGGCCACTTTTTTTTATCCCTAAGAAGCAGGCAATGGCAAACCATTTCCAAAATCTTGCCAAGAAAACTACATGAACTACTCCAGGCAATCACCAGGGGTTAACACTGACTTGAATGTACCAAAAAGAAAACAAAAAGCAGAATTAAATGGAAAATGGCTGCTCTTTGGGTCAAACAAGTACAAAGCCTCCCCAAATTTGCACAATATATTTTTATTATGTATTTTTATATTTTATGTATTTTTATGGGGAGGAGGGGGTTGGGTGTGGTGGGTGGAAAGAATAATGCAAAATAGTTGCTGTCTAGAATGAAACCAAAATGATGATCCAGGTGGGAGAGAATGCCTATCAATTAGCAGCTATTGTTGCATAATTGACTAATCCATAGTTGAACCAAGATGCTCAACTTAGTACTCTAGAGTCACACAGTACAGTGAACCATAGGCCAGGAATTCTGAGAGTTGAAGTCCACAAATCTTAAAGTTGCCAAGGTTCGGAGACCCCTGACATAGCTAACAACACTGGATAGGTTAACACTACCTTCAAAATAAACGTTGACTACTTCAAAGAATTCAGTCAGCCCATTATGCAGTCTGAGACAAAGCAGAGATATAATAGCTGGCCAACATTTTGAAAAGTAATGTTGCACCACTCGGAATACCATTTTAAGTTGTGCCTTGGAAGAAAGGAGAAAACATCACAAAAGCATTTGGACTTCAACTGGAAAGAAAACTGAATTTATTCTGGAACATTTAAGTTGGGTTGTTTCAAGATCAGAAACTACCAAC